ATCCATAACCTTTTCAATTTTTACAGTTTTTACTCTAATCTTCAATTTATACCAACGAAAATTGCTAACATTTCAGAAATATGTATTTGGAGTCCAAATAGATGGAAACCATCAAATTGACTGTTAGTTGATCAAAATAATTGATTTTGACCCAATTTGATAATGGCAAAATGGTAACTTAATCAAGCCCATGTTATAAAAAAAAAAAAAAATCAGAAAAAATGAAAAAGAAATAAAATAAAAATGGTTTTGTCCTTCACCCCACCCCACCCGACCCACCCCATCTCCAACGGCCCCATACCCGCAACTCAACCACCAATATCTTGACCTAACACCATCACCACCTTCGGCACCATTGCCGACGTCGGCCATATTTTTGGTCGGTCAAATTTCATGAAAATCGCCATCACAAATTTCAAATCTTGTAGCATCACCGAGCTCCGCCATTTTCCCAATTTCCAATTTCTTCATTACCCAAAAAAATTCAAGTTTAATTCCTAAAAATATCAATTCGTTTGTAGCATAATCTCCGTTGAACAACTCAAAACACAATGCTACGACTAAATATCTGGTTTAAGAATATTTATTAGTACATTACAATTTCCTAATGATAGTAATTCAATTCCTTATATGTGTGACTTGCGCTTAAGACAATGGTATGTGATTGTAATAAACTTAGCATAACAATTCAAGATTGACTTGTGGAATTTAACACACGATTAACATTTCGCCAAACATGCTCGTAACAAAGAGATGCACTTGCTCATTTTTTGTCGATATTAAATAAATGCATGGCAAATACATGGACACTTTATCTTTACTGGCATAATTTTTTTTCTTTTCCATTACAATGGAATTTCGAATTTGCTCAAGAGATCCAAAAAATGCACAAACGCTCAAATCAGTAAACAACTCTGCCAATAAGCTCACAACTTGTTTGGCATTACGTGCAGCAGCTATAAATCCTCAACTTTGTCATAAATTTCGAATCATATATATAAAATAATACGACTCATCCCAATTGTCAATACATATTACGCGCAAAATATACATCATCAAGAAAAAGAAGCTACCTTATTCCAGCAAGATCACTACGTACTGCCTCCTTATTTACAACTATTAGAAGCCTTCACAGAAAATACTTAACTAACATCCTTGTTATGTACAAAGATCTCTTCTTTTGCCCGGAATTGGATTGCCTCAAGAGGGGCTCAGAGAAGAGGACAGCCCTATGTGTTTCTCTGTAAATGAGATTTTGAATATCGTTAGTTGGTTAACTAGTAGCGTAAACTGTGATTTGTGGAAGAATATTCGTATATGGAGTAATAGTTGAAAGTTACCTCCCGTTGCTACAAGCTTTTCAACACGTGATACAATGTGTTTTCCATAAGTGTACCTCTTTAGTGCATTCAAGTGAACCTTTATACGAGAAAGAATCAATTCACGGCTCCGATCATCACACGTCTCAAGAACCTTCTGCACAACGTAGTTTCCAAATTGATCTTTCATCATAGCCTGGGAATTTTCATTTCATGTTCATTATTCCACAACAGAAAGTGAGGACATATTAGGACAAAATAATTTCCAGTTCATTTTCAATTCGGAAAGGAAGGGAGAAGATGGAAAGAAGCGTGGAAATTCAACAGGAAGGTGCATGGGAGGTGGTGTAGAGATTTGCTAATCAAAGAATTGTCGCCATCCCAAAATATTGTGGAATAAAAGATAACGGAATAGAACCGTACAAGACATTAATTAACAATGCAATCCAACAGAATAATGTTTTATTCAATTCAGTACCACAATGTGATGAAAAACAGTGAACTACGAATTCTTAATCAGATAAAGAGGTGCCTTTGACACGAATCCACCATAAAATAAAAAATCATGTAAAGTGATGATAAAGTTGATCTTTAAATGAGATGAACGATGGTGACCACCTTGGTGTGTTTACCTGCAAAGCTTAACTTACAAAATCAAGAAAGTTAAGGAAAACTAAGAGCAAGGAATTGATTCCCCTAACACATTCGTAAAAAACCAAAGAAAAAAGTATCAAATATCAAAATTTCGAAGGTGAAAAATTTTGGACAGTTTAACCCCAAGCAGTTCTTAGAGTGCAATCAGTTCAGGATGCCTATATATAGGCAAAATATGATGTACATTTGATAATTATCAAGGTGTAAATTGTTTGGTTAATTTTAAGAAGCAAATTTAAGTCACAAATCTAGAGAGCAGCATTGTCACATACCTGTAGAGGCTCATTTTCGTCTGTAGAACCAAGCATCTCACTCACCAAGAGTTTGCGCTCCTCTGGACCACCGAAAGTCAAGCACTTCTCGACCACATTGGAAGCAAATTTTTGCTGACTCATCTTCACGATCTGTCCTGCAAGCTTGCTAATAATAGCAGACCGTTGGTGTGGTTTACCATGCTGCAAGACATGCTAACAAAGCCCCAAGAAAATGATCAGAATGTTTAAAGTCATATTTGTGAGAAACAATACAACAAACACAATCTAGAAATACAAGCATTAGATTTCCTAAATAAACAGCAAATAATCCAGTAAAGTACAAACGCACAAATGCATCGAGAAATCATGAATGTAATGACAACTCAGTCAACAAATCACCTGCATTGAGGACTTTATTCTGTATAGCAAAAACAGTGGACAACGTAACTTTGGCATAGTGTGATCTACATATACAGGTCAGATTGATAGGTTCCAATTTCTTTCAACAAGTTCAGCACACTTTTCACCGGCCAACTCCATATTCTTTTCTTTTTAAGAAAAAATTTGCAGGCACTCAACATGCACCATCTATTAATTCCTAAAATATTGACTATCCATCCATCTAAAAGAGACATAAAAGTGACTAGAACTCTTCTCATTTGTTGTACCAATCTTGAGTTCAGGAGAAGGAATAGAATGACACTACATATAGTCTCGAATTCCATATTGTAATATCTAAAGAATCTTTCTAGATTACTGTGGATTAGCTCTCTGTGCCAAGGGAAGCAGGTCATCTGATTGAGCCACGCAAACCTTGTCCATTTTATTTTTCAATCTTTATCGTATGAGGTTTTTGAAAAATAAATAAATAAATTGAACATCCATGGTCACGAGTAACCCTGGACAGGAACTGGCAAACATGATTAATAAATAATTAAATTTGGCTGAAGCAAAGTATTCTACAAGAAGGGCATCTAACAGCTTTACAGGTGGACATGCTAGTTCTCACTTGAATGCTCCAAATTTTCTCATCTTCTCTTTATATTATTATCACATAATTGCCAAATGTTCCAATCAAGTGCCAATGGAAGACAAAAAAATAAGAGAGAATCAAAATCAGAAAGGCCCTCAACATATAGCTGATGCTGATAGAGCTGTCAATGTATATGATCAGGTATTTGTCCAAGGAAATTAAGTACCTGAATGACATAATTCCCAAACTGATCTTGTGCTAAGGTACAAATGGAGTTCATAATTTCATCCATGAGCATTTGTTGAGTGTTAGGATCATCACAGTGCTCAAGGATCCTCTGTCAAAAGCAAAATCCATATACATGAATTACTCGCCAAAATTAACAAAGGAAGCAAACAACAAATAAGTAACTTAACCTGAATGACACGACAGCCATATGGATGTGTCGATAATGTCACGACTTGGCCAATCAACGACGATATTATAAATTGGATTCGATCTTGAGGGACACACTCAATAGACTTCTGGATTACATGATTACCATTCTGATCTCGGACACATTTCATCACTGAACCATCAAGTTCAGCTACCATTTTAGCCTGCAGCTCCACATCAACCACTTCCAATGCCTGTGAATAAAATCAATGTCTTGGTTCATATAGTAAAAGAAGAGACACAAGATTTTAGAGGCAAATTATGATTTGTCCGTAGACTAATGCTACCTCTGATGCAAACAGAATGTCTCATTTCCTCTCTTGAATATGTTACAATCTGTATTTCTGGACTTAATGTCCTCTTAGAATAAAAACTTCTTTAAAAATTCTTTCTCAAATAGTCATGACAACTAATTCTAAATTACTTTTTCTGACGTACCACTTTATGTCACACACTATGGACAAAACTGGAAAGCTGTAGTCTGTAGCAAACACAATTTTCATCGCGAAACTAGTTGTTTGATGACTAACGAGTCCCAATATAACTGGATGTTCCATTGATTATTGTGACTTCTAATTTAGCTCGAATATCAATTGGTTAACAATGAACGAGATCTTCAATGTAGGAGGTTTAAGATATCACTTATATTATGCTGTTATAGAGAACGTGTACACTCCAATTTCCGTTGACCATATTCATGCCTTGCCT